TTGGTAAATGTACTTGCATGTCAAAATGCTTTTATGACGCGAAATTGATGTAAACACGGTCAGTTATATCTTAAACCAACAGGACAAACCACATTTACAATTTCAAAAGAGATATATGCATTAGTGTGAATGCAGCTTATCGTATCTAAACTGAGGGGAAATTACTCCAGCTCTTGAATGAAAAACATTCAGACAGCCTACTTTTAATTACTGAGACCGTAATGTTTTTTTTTGTTTGTTTCTCTTTATTTACTAGCTTTTATATTTTGAAGCTATATTATTTTATATAGCCTATTTAAAATTCTTAACATGTAATTGGTTTAATTAAATGTTTTTTTATATTTATTTTTTAAAGTATGTGTTTTTACACATGTAATTAAATACATATTTTAAGAGTTATTAAGATTAATTAATAAGAAAAAAAGTAGATCGGATCATGAGCTATCTAAAGATTCCCATCCCTACTGTACAATGATTTATTGCTTGTCTTTGTCGACTAATACAGAAGGTAAATAACTTTTTTTTTTAAATCGCATATTAAATCGCAATCGCAATATTGGTTAAAAAAATCGCAATTAGATTATTTTCCAAAATCGTTCAGCCCTACCGCGTACCATTCGCTGTAGCCTGACGCACACCTTGTAACTACACGTTACATTTTTGAGGATGCGATGACGCGGACCGCAAGATCTGTGATTGGTCGGCTTGGTAGCATCGCATTTCCTCCTAAGCATTTCCGCACGTACCTTCTCCTCCTCCGAAGTCTTCTCTCATTTCTGCCTTTTAGTTTTAGTAATTTCACCAAAATTAACCGTTTTTCTACCTCAATAAACTCCAACTCCAACATGATCTGGTCTCTTTCAGTCGCCATTGCTTGTAGTAACCTAGCCGCGAGGAATCTAAACGCAGTGGAACATTAAAACCCTCCATCGCCAACTAGCGTTTCGGAGCAGTACTGCAGAGCAACCAAGACCTGAACGCAGAAGAATAAATGCCTAAGTGCGTAGCCTACGCCGTACAGTACACTATGGCGTACCCTTGATGCAGAAGTATAAATTGGCCTTAAGAGCTGTCAATTTACTGTAAGTTTTACTGTATGATTTTACAGTGTAGTCAAACAAAATATATTTTTGTTATTATTTTGTTATGACAATTGATAAACCTCTCTCAGTCAGAATCCAACACCAATGTTAAATGGATAGTTCACTTTGAAATTAATTTTTGATATGTTTTAGCTTACCTCAAGGGCATCCAAGATGTAGGTGTCTTTGTTTCCACAGTATTTTCAATTTTTATATTTTTCAGTCAAACCGTTGGACACCCTTAGCCTCCAGTGTATGACTCATAGACTGAAAAATGTCAAAATTGAAAATACTGTGGAAACAAAGACACCTACATCTTGGATGCCCTTGAGGTAAGCTAAAACATATCAAAAATTAATTTCAAAGTGAACTATCCCTTTAAACTGTTATTATCATCGTAAAATGACCTCGCTAAAAAAAGAACCATAAACTATCTGGCAGAAACAAAGCTATGGCGCTTACAATCTGTCATTTTCAAACCATAACAAACTCACAGCAAAGCAGCAGAATTATTTTGGGGGCTCCAGAACCAAAAGCTTTCCTTTTTTCCCTCTGTTCATTCCTACAGTCTACATTTTTGTGAACTGCCTTTGGATGAGAACGAAATCAGAGATATCTGTGTGGATCCCAGCATGCACTGCACAGACGATCAATATTGACACAGACAGGATACCATGTGTACTCAGGATCAGCGCTGTAGTCTTGACCAATTCTTATTTTCGGACCATTCAACACAATACGAGGAGGCTAACCAGGGTAACACTTACCATGGCACTTGATGCGAAGTCATTTCATTTTATAGACCTAGGGTTTGTTGAGCAGTAAGGCATAAAAAAAATTGTTTGGTTCTGGTTTCCGACCGACCCTGTCCAATTATGTGCGACCCAAATTTATTTTATGAGCTTGGGGAAGAAATAATAAAAATTAAATAATACACGAATAAAAAAACTATTTCACACATCACTCGTCAAACTGAACTATAATACATATACAAGTCTTTGTTTTTGTTTTTTTTGTCATTTAGGATACTTTTATTCATATCATCCCAAATCCCAATCCCCTCTTCTGCTGTCTACTACTTCTTTCGCCATGTATTTGTTTGTTTGTTTTATTATTTTATGCAATCCAAAACACTCTAACCTGCCGCGATTCGCATCTCCAGAGCCCGGTCCGCTTGTCCGGGACAAGTGGAATTTTGAAGGACAAGTAAAAGAGAATTTTACTTGCCCGAACGGACAGGTAGCCTGATTAGAACATCAATAACAAACAAAAAAATAATAACTATGGAATCACTAAACCGAGAGAATGATTCTGATTTAATTAAATTTATTGTAAGTTGCGATCAATTGTGGATAATAAATGTATTAGCCTACTGACGGTGAGGTTGCGCTGTTAATGCTCGAGGAGAAATCTACACACATGAGCGCAGCACAGCACACACACACACACACACTCAGTTAACAACATAATGCCTATAAAACATCTAAATGTGGAGTTTCTATATTTTAACATGTGTGTTAAGCAGCCTCAATTATGTTTCCTGAATACCATCAGGATTGAAAATGTGACATTGATTTCCTACAACAGTTCAATAAACAATAAAATTTTAGTCACTTACATTTTAGATGCAATATTGGCTGTTTTTGTTCTGTTTCAGCAGCGAAAATAGCTCCAAACAAAAATCACAGCAGAACCACGGCGAATCTCACAGGAACACTCATCCTGTTTTCATTACTGAATGATTCAGCATTTTGAACGAATCGGTTGAGTCAAAGATTCAATGACCCATTCATTAACATCTGTCTCATTCTTGAATGAATCAACCGTTTGTTATGTTTATAAGTAGCCTAGTATCTTTCCAATGTTTCGTACTGCCGATGAGAAGAAAAAAAAAATCTCCTACCGAGCCATGACATCAACTGACAAACAATGCCTAACAATGCCATTTTTTATGCCTAATTAAAGTGATATCATATCTGCTGCATTAAAGGGATTCTCCACTTTTTTTGTTGTTGTTGGCTTTTTTTACGGCTCCCCCAGAGTTAAACAGATGAGTTTTACCGATTTCAAATCCATTCAGCCGATTTTCTGATATTTAGACGAATATTAGTAACCAGACAGTTTCTGGTCCCATTGACTTCCATAGTATATATTTTTACTGTGAGGGAGTTGTAAAATTAGCCTTTTTCCAAAAAAAGTGGAGTATGCCTTTAAGAAGCATCACTTTATTCCCTAAAACATTAAGCATAAAGATGCTATTGTGGATTGTGTCTAAATTTCCACACAATGCAAATTAGCTCTTTTATGCACAGTCAAACTATAATAAATGCACAAAATAATGTTTCCACAACCTTCTATTGCCAATGGCAGTTTGAGATCATGCAGTAAACAATAATAATAAAAATTAAACCTTCAAAAATTTGCAATTTGTCCAAAACACAAAAATTATAGCCTAATAATGAGTAATGAACTTATCTGCATGTAACTAACATAGCCATCAATTGTAGACATTTAAGCATTAACATATAAGCACTTGTAATATACAGAGGTCCTGAAAACCCAGACAGATGTACAGCCTGTTCGGTTACGTGTTTAGGAGACGGGGGGACTCATTTCAAGAGGTTCTATGATTCTCTTACATTGATGAGTGTAACAACTCGTATAAAGGACATGCTACTTTTATGATAGTGCTTCAGGGAAAAATACAGGAAAAAAAAAATCACATGTCTGAACACGTCTAGAAACACCTATATCTGCACCATATGTGTCGAGTAAGAAACGAGTAAGAAACCTGTTTTTTACCGAACAGTTAAGCAGGCATGGGTATTACTATTATTTTTTTATTAAAAATTAGTACTAGTGCCAATCATGTCCTTCTCGGCCATCACACACATATTTTAACAACCAATAGATTGTTCAGAATAATCATTGAATCTTTCAGAATCAATCTGAAGTGACAGTCCAGCTTCATTAGTAATATAATAAGGCACATTTAAACTACATGATTTTATAAATTAAAAAAAAATATAAACTATTTAATAAGCCACTAATACAGTGACGATTATCATCATATAAATAATAATTTTAAAATAATAGAAACTAAATTCCAAACAATATTTAACACATTTATCCATTTTCCACAATCCAAATGGAGTCTGCACAGGAAAATAACGGCCATTTACGTTTTAGGATGGGGGTCACTTGGACATGGCATCTAAAAGATTGTAAAGGGAAGGCCCTGATCCACATGATCAGATTTATCAACATCAACACCTTGAATGGATCTAAAATGATCACACAACTTGAATTCAAAGCGTTATCTAAATTAAGATAAGCATGATTGGATCCCACAAAACAATGACCGAACCTCTTAATCACGTCTACCAGATGATCAAACTTCTTGAGTGGTTCTTAAAAAAACCTATATGATGATGATCAAAACCCAATTCTCATAATGATCAAGCCTTAACCAACTTTATCTCTTGATCAAACACCTCAATCTGATAAGCAACTTGTTCAAACATCCTAACCTGTCAAACTTCTATAAACCTGATGAACTAGCCCCGTGTTTGGGTAACGTTATAACCTACATGGATCTCGATTTGACAGATGTTCCCTGAAAGTCTAGTGTCCCTTCGGATAGTTTTAACACAGCCATGATCTGAACGTTTGAGGTAATTCTAACTTTAGACAAACCTCAGCTCTAAAGATGAATCGTTGCTACATTTATTGGTCACAACAAATGACTGATCATGAGTTCAGATGGGCTAACGTTACCAGCCCAGCTCACACCCGTGTGTTTACACCAGTCAAAACCCTGTGTAAACTAGTGTAAAACTCGACCAACACGCCTTTAACTAGCTTTTAAGGCAGTTAACGGTTCAAGGGGAGCAGAATATAAGTAAATAGCCTCGGTACCGGCCCGGGTGGTGTCGGTGAGGTCGTGTCCGGAGGCGCTCCTCGGGAACTCCTTCAGTTTCCTGCCGCTCAGGTTAAGAGCTCCAGTGGCCGCCGCCTCGTCTAGCGCCCGATCCAGCGAGCGGTTCCAGGACGAGGGTCCGGGAGCATTGGATAATCCGTGATGGGTAGTTCCCGCAGAAGCAACTGTGGCGGGATGGCCGACGGTAAAAGAGGGCACGGCGTTTTCCGCGGAGAGCAACACCGAAGCCGCCATTACACAGCTAACACTCCCGCTGGATCCTCACGGGCCCCACACACGAGCGCGGACAGTGGCAGTGCGCATGCGCGGGCCCACAGAGGGCACAGAAGGGTCTGAAACCAGACAGACCCAACGGAGCACGAGCGAGGACACTAGTGTATGCGTGGATTGAAGGATCAGCGTTAAAAAGTCCAACCGGTCTGGAGTGTGGGGAATTATTATCCCAAACTTCTCCTTTATCGTATCATATTCTAATTTTTATCAAAGACTAAATACATAAATGCATGCATTAAAGGGTTGTTGACAAGTATCATGATGAACATGACTTTTCTTAATAAACTAACGATAAATTAATATTCTCTTTATTTTGTTTTATAAATTCTATTAAAGTGTTCCTTGTGTAGGAAAATGGCATGGTAAATAAATGTCAATGAATGATCTGAGTGAGATAATGCATGATTTATATATAGTCAAGAAAATAAGTTTTAGATTTGTGGTTCTATGATCGATAAACTCTTGCGAGTGTGAGACATATAGAAGTAGTTAAATCAAATTAAAAATATATTGACCTGTAATAATGTTGTTGTTTTCAAATATGCAAACGGCCCCCTACTGGTCAATTATAAAACTGAGAATAGTATTGTCTACTACTCAAACCCTTCTAATAAATCATTAAAAATCACAACCTGTATTATAAATTTTAATACTATTCCCACATTAGATTTACATTTGTGTAATGATAAGCAAACATTTATGTATTTATACCATTCATATGGGCCCCTTTATTGATCCATAGAAAAAAAATCTAGCTCTATCATGGTTGGAATCAGTTACAAGACAAATTGTGTTTTAAAGAGTTAGCCTCTCTAAATAAATGTAAGTGTATTTTAAATGTCTAGTTTACAGACTTAGCTGATTGAAATGGTTTTTAATAATTGTGAATGTAAAGTATTTATTTTCATTTTTAAATGTTTTTTTTTTTTTTTTTTCCATGTTTAACTACTATGTGCTGTCTATCCTGGCCAGGGTCCTCTTGTAAAAGAGATTTTTTTTAATCTCAAGAATTTTTGTCCAGGTTAAAAAAAAGTTAAACATAAATGTTTACGAAATTTTTTAAAGACAAAAAAAAAAAGACATTTTAGATTTTGAAGTATTTTTTTATTATTTTTCATGTTCTTTACACACAACTGAATATGTGGACCTTCATTTCCTTGAGCAAATGATCAAGGAACACAAATTCAGCTCTAAATGTAGAGGAAAATCCAATAAAGGTGCATAGTACCAAATAATGTTAATCAACATGAACTGGTCCAAAAACCTAGAACACAGAAAATACATTGCAGCATTTCTTTTAAACAACCATATGTTGTTGTTGTTTTTTCCACAGAAAAAGTTGAAAGTCATTTGTAGTCTTGGGTTTATTGCCTCGGTTATGGATTCAGCAGCAATATCGATAGAAGTCCCACATTGGAATGTTTCGGAATATAACGTTCTTCCAGCTTTTGAGTAAGGCACAAGAGACCGTGGTGTTGTGATGAAAAAGCTTGAGACATATAAAGGTTAAATTAATAAAGCGGGAACGATCAAGTGATCTTCAGGCAAGCCAAGAGAAGAGAAGAAACTGATGACCATTCATTTCACATTCCCATCCTGATGCTCTGAATGATCTGGAATATTGCTGTAATGAGAAGACCAAGAAATAACATTAGAACTCAAACATTCGATCTTCAGAAAATGTAAAGTATCTAAGAATTCATATATCTGCTCATGTCATATTTAGTCCTTGCCATTTCACCAGAAGAGAGCAACAAATTTAAGAAACAACAATGACAGCATATCATATGTTGAATAATGAGAGCAAAGAAATCTTATGGGGTCTTTGAAAAAGTGTATGTCGTTTATAATGTAAGTGTACTCTAAAGTTTAGAGTACACTTACATTGAATTAAGTGCTCATGCATGTGAAAAATGCTTTTTGACCTTCAAGTTAAATTAGGAATTAAAAAGAAATGTCTAAGTACAGACATTTCCCTTAATTATTTACCCAATATAACATCACTAGCTAAAGCATAGACTAAACGATTTAGTGTACAAAGAAAACAAGAAATTAAAATTGTCAGTGGATCAGGTTAGAAACCGGTCTGCAGTATGGATGCACTTTGTCCTTTTAAACAGAGTTATGAAATAAGGTTCATGTTTGGCATGCTAATGTATTTGGTTTTAAAAAGCCATCAGTTACTTAATTCAAAGAATGATCCTTTTAAATGATCCATTAGTTATCAACACATTCAATGAAAGTGGATGTTTTTCGGATTGTAAACTCACCTGATCCACATACTACAAAGACGAACAAGGCAAGAAGCCACGGTCCCACCACTCCCTTCTCTTCTTGAGTGCCTCTCTGTTGAGAAAATAGCAACATTAGTACATTTAGAGACATACATTAGCTCAGTTACTTCTAAAGAATGCCAATATGAACAATTGGGCAAATTAAAGCTCCTCTACATGACTAAATCAATATCCAGTACAATACACGAAGTAAACCTTTACCGTAGAGCAAACAGCAGAAAGACTTTAGATTCATTAAAATAATTAACTTACTATAGTAAAAATCAGAGTGGTATAAGCTGAAAATTACCGTGGATTTGGCCACATTGCCTCTTAGAGTGATGTTCTTGCTGTGTTTCTCATTCGCCATGCGAATCCTCTGTTTGGCCACCATCTTTTACTACTAATTTGACGTTTTTAAAGAAAGAAAGAAGAGGAAGCGTCGAAACCGACGGAGATCCGAGAGGCCGTATGATCAGTTGACGTGTGATCTTGCCACTGCACTGGTTTAGTCTACGTGTTCATAAGAGGAAATTACTCCACCCACGAGACGTGGACGCTTCGAAGGAGAATAAATGAGTAGAATGGCAATCCGGATGAAACAGAAACAATAATGGGCGGCGACTAACCAGCTAATTAATCTAAACTATATATGTATATATTTTCTATTTCAGTTATTTTCAGTGTATCTTTTTTTCTTGCCAATGAGTATTAAATTTCATCACTTTTATTATTCATATGTTTATTTATTTTTCCGGAGCGCTTCGAAACAAACGCAGAGTTGTTGTCAAGTGATAAATGCAACTTTAATCAGCGCTGGCGGTGTTGGACCAATCACTGCAAGTTAAAAAAAAATATATATTTTTAGGCATTTTGCAAAGGTTGAGTACGTATTCATGTGTGTGTGTGTGTGTGTGTGTGTGTGTGTGTGTGTGTGTGTGTGTGTGTGTGTGTGTGTGTGTGTGTGTTAAGTGGTAAACATCGAAAATAATATCTTATTTTTTGCGTAAAAAATGCCATCAAAACAGATTTACAATGCGGCTAAGGCAGGGGTTCTCAAACATTTTGGTGCCAGGGACCCCTTTCAGGGGAAAAAAAATTCCAAGGACCCCCCTCATATTTATAACAGTTATTGAGCACAAAGTTAATGTGTGAGCGGCAAATGAAATATTTTTGCACAAAATGAATGGTCTCCACCCAGGGTACTATGCAGGAATTTCTAAATAGCCTACTGAGGTAACGAAAGTGATCTTGCTAGGAATCACTTAGGATCTCTCACTTAGGAATTTTTGATGTTCTTGATCTACACATGTGCATTTTAAGGTGTTTTAAGGCCCCACAATTGGATAACTATAGATTTAGTAGAAGCATGTCAGTCAGTGGCAGTCATACTTTTTTTTTTTGTCAAGATGTCACGAAACACAATCACATATTCCAATCAGGAATGGCCTTAAAAGAGAAATGTTTTCAATAATTAGGCCTATTCTGCACACAAATAAAGCCCATAAGCCTATAAATACAATGATAATGGCATTATGTTTAATAGGTGCGTGCGTTGTTAATTTGAGCTACTGTAATTAGCTAAAAAAAACATACAGTATATGTTAAATATATGAATCCATAATGTTAATCTCATGGGCACATGCAGTATGTTTCTATTGACCTGCTTTTTCCTTTGTTAAAGTTGAGCTTGATTAATACTTTGCAAACTGATTGTTTCAGTCGTTTTTTAAAACTTTTATCTAAAACAGCTGTTTAGTTTATGTTAATTAAGGCCTACATCTTATCTCGCACTTTATGACCGTTGACTGAAACGTCGTGCGGGGAACTTTGAGTTCACTCCGACTCAAACATTTTGACATTGACGAGCTATCGTTGTTAGTCTGCTGAAGCACCTCAGACGAGAAGGTCAGTATCATCGCGATGTGCATCCTTGCAACCTCAGTTGTGGGTACGGCCCTGTCACTATGCACTTTTATTTTGATAATGATCAGACTTCTAATGTCAAATCTACAGTAGCAGTGCTAGAACTGACTATTGTGCGCGCACGCGAGACGCCGGCGCGCAATTACATGGGAATTTTTCCTCAGCAGTGGAAACAGGAATACTCTTATTTATGGTCATAGATAAGACAAGAGTGCATCATCCGAAACGGTAAAGTGTCCATTTTTTTATTTGTGTATAGGCTACATTATAAATGACTACAAAATGTCATGCCTTTTAAAAATAGCCTACAGAAAAGAACCGGATGCGGGTTCATGCCGTCTCTCTGTCTCCTTTCTGGCGCATGCACGTCCCGCAAAATCAACAGCAGCGAATAGTCTACTTGACGCAAAGACATAGATTATCTATCTATAGAAAACTTAAAGTGTCTACTTTGTATTGTTTTATGTTAAATGCTTTATATAAGTTACTTAGGAATAAACAGCATGTTTTCAGATGATAAAGAAAACATGACTCATAGCATGGAAAAAAACGTTAGGTTGTAAATTATTTCGCGGACCCCCTGGCTTTAGCTCGCGGACCACCAGGGGTCCGCGGACCCCACTTTGAGAACCACTGGGCTAAGGAACATTGAGTGAATGACCGATCGCCCCCTAGAGGATTGTTACAACAGAAAACAGTTTTTTGCCCTCTTGTTCCTCTAAATTAAAAAACGCACATATTCTCTTTTTAAAATACCCATTGAGGAAAAACGTCATTATTTTTACTCCGCGATTATTCAGTGCATTAGTCTGTCATGGGAACATAATTGTTCCAAATTGCTGAGAAAAAAATACTGTCATCAGAAACCGTTCATCAAAGGTTTTTTTTTTTTTTTTTTTTTTTTACAAAGTTGGTCAACACTTGTGCAAAACAAAATTATTATTATTATTTTCTAAGCTATATTCGACTCATTTGAAAAGACAATACACAATCAATATCATGCATTATAGTCTATACAACTGTACTAAGATTTGTTAGGGATAAAAACATAAATAATTCAAATAAATCCTCTCCCGACAATCGGAAATAATCGACATTATGTATAAAACCTTAACTTTATGAATTTGGTTTCGAGATTTTTACACATCAAACTATCTAACTGTAGTGACGTAGGTGTTGAACTGCTATGACGTGGCACGTTGTCGTACTTCCGTTTCAAAATGGCGCCCCCCACACCTCATTTAGCAGGTGAGTTGTTGCTCTAAAATGTGTTTTCATGCTCATTTCAGTTGCGTTAAGATAAATAATCAACGTGAGAAGGCCAGCATGTTATGAATTAACAGCACGTCTTTTTTTTCCTCAAGATTTGCAGACATATAAAGGCATGAAATCATTACTGTCATGTGCGCAATTTTTTAACGTTATTTCAGCGTAGTGAGAAATGAGCTAACGTTACCACGTATCAGCATGTCACATATGGAAAAATTAAATAAATATATATTAAAAAAATTAGCTGATGCTTTGTCAACTTAGGTCAGGGTTTGTTGATGACACTTTTTAAATCAATTTCTTGAGAACAATTTTTTTAAACTGTATTAGTTTAAATAATTTTCAGGCTGCATCCACCAAACTCAGAAAATCCCTCGGCTTGTTCGGATTTAATACTTATTTCCCCCCATGGTTGACCATCAAAAATCCCCCCAAAGTCCCACAGACTTGCATTGAACAGTCTATTCATCCTCTAGTCAGTCTGTCTCTGTACAGTGCAAAATTCTGATTTATTTTCAAAGTAACCCAAAAATTAAATTTACACATGATTTATAACCTTTACACTTTAAGGCTGAACTTTATTTTTGTCAAGCCAGCATGCAATTTTTGTTTACCTTTTCCATTTCAAACAGTCAGAGGATCAGATGGAACGTTGTTGTTGTGTGGACCTCCTAACTGTCAGGAAAGCTCTGCTTTCCAGAGGTCAGTTATTGCATTTGCTGCACTTAGAAAGATTTTTCCATAAAATTTTGTTTACTTAAGTAGCAGTAACTGTTTCGTTCGTTTCAGAGATGACCGGCAAGGCAAACACATGACATTCAGCAGTGATGGGTCCCTGTTTGGCTGGTGCAATGGCTCACAGTACGTACACTATAATCCCTTACACATTTCCTAACCCTGTTTTAGTTGATTTAACTTATAGTACAACAACAGTTTGTTGATTTTAATTGTAAAAATCTAATATAATGCCTTTGTTACTCAGAAAACCTAACTTAAGATAACTTGATTTGTAGGAGTACCATTTTTCAAGCAAAAGAGTTTCAATCTTTTTTCAATGTTTCAAGAATTTCCCCCACTTCTGCAGTTATCTATATCTCTTTCATTCACTCTTTTTCCAAAGTATGTTGTTGAATTGTCAATGCAATGGAATTTTATATCACTTGGTGTTGTTTCCCTAAAATAATTTCGATTCGATTTGGTTTTGATTTATTTAGTAAAACGCATTTAAATCTCTAATATGACTAAACTAATTTCAACTTGTCAAATTGAGTTACCAATACTCACATTTTCTGGTATACCTACACAAACATGCAAGTTCTCCCTACCAAGTTCTATTAAGCTTTATCGACTCAAAAATGAAGTACTTTCCTTGCAAGTTTTAAGACAATCAGTTTCCACAGCTTTTCCAATAGAATGGATGGACATTTGAGTATATCTCCTGTGTGTGTTTGGCAGGGTCAATGTGATCAAAGTTTCCACTGGAGATTTGGTGAAGTCTTTTGATTTACCCAAAACATCCGCACTGGAATTCTCACCTTTGAATAAAGTTCTGGCCACCTGGCAGCATTATACCAGTAAGCTCAACATTTGATTTAATATCCATATATAATGTTTTATGACATTCTAGCTTTATAACTATAAGAAAGAAAATGTAATCTAAGCAAGCAGGACACAAAAAACGCTTTTGTTTTTCAGAAACGCAGGATAACCCTCAGGGAGAGGCAAACCTGCAGCTTTGGGACTTGCAAACAGGTGCCTGCATTAAAGCGTTCTATCAGAAGAAGATTACAGGATGGTGAGCAACTATTGCTGTTCATAACAGTTTATTTGTGTTCTTTCTGTAACTGTTAAACACTGTTTGTTGTCTGTATTTTCACAGGTGTCCGAGCTGGGCAGATGATGAAAGTATTACCGCTAGAAATGTCAATAATGAACTTCACTTCTACGAGAACAACAACTTCGGTAACATCGCGTCTGTTTAATTAGTACTTTGCGCATGTTATATTCCAATTGCCTGTGAAAACAAACGGTGATGAATAACGTTGACATGGCATTTTAACAATATCTTTAAAGTTTTAATGTATATGAATGTATGAAGGAAAGTCTCTAGATTTTTAATTATTTGTAGTAGTTGGCTGTTTCGTGGGTTCTCTTAAAGGGATAGTTCACCCAAAAATGAAAATTATGTCATCATTTGGTCACCCTCAAGTTGTTCCACATCTGCATGAATTGTTTTCTTCTGCTGAACACAAAGGAAGACATAGTAATTTGTAGAATGTAACCAGTTGATGGACGCATAGATTTTTTTCCAGTGAGTTCCATCAACTGTTTGGTCAAAATATATTATTTTGTGTTCAGCAGAAGAAAG